ATTCCCGCTGGCCTGGAGCCCGGCCCTGCGCAGCAGGGCGCTCCGCGAGTCGGCCGACGCCCCTCCCTGTGACCGCCGGGGCTCTGGGCCATGTCCCCGGGCTGCTGGCCCTCAGCCCCCACTGACAGTCGGCTCCTCGGGGTCAGGCAGCTGCTGTCACTGCCTCGGCCCTGGGCAGAGCCGGGCCACACCCCTGGGCCCCTCTGAGTATCCCGCCTGAGGACGCAGCCACCTCTAGTCCCTAATAGCTCCTGGGGCTGATTTGAGGACCTAAGGACTGCGGGGCGCTGGGGAAGGGGAGCTGGGAGGGGCGGAGGGATTGTGTGGAACACGTGCAGATTAAATAACTGTGAAGTTTTCACTCCTGGTGTGTGTCTGGGTGCGTGGGCCCGTGCGGGTGTTGGGCGGGGAGCCCTTGTCCACTGGGAAGAAAGGCGAGAAGGGCGCGGAGTGCGCCCCGTCGGGCGCCCGACCTCACACGACGGGCCGCCGACTTCCGCTCTCTCTCTTCGTGCCAGCCTCGGCGCCTGGCCCTTTGGCTCCGCCCCTCCGGCACCTCCCCGGCTCGGCGCGCGCAGCTTCCCGGAAGCGGGGGGCGGGGCGCGCGACGCCGGGGCGCGCGGGGCCTGACGGGAGCCACGTCTGTGCTGGTCGGGGGCTGAGCCGCGATTGGCGTCCGCACCGCGGTCCGGGGATTGCTGGGAAGATGGCGGACTCGGTGGCCTGCCGATGAGGAGGCCGCGGGGGGAGCCCGGCTCCCGGGCCCCGAGACCGACTGAGGGAGCGACCTGCGCGGGGCCTGGGGAGCCATGTAGGGGTGGCGCCTACGGGGCGGGCTGCGGGAGGGCGGCGGGGGTTGGTGTTGGCGACCGTGACCACGGTCTCCTGGCGTTGCCGGGCCCGGGTGGGTGTGGGGGCCCCTGACACCGCCGACTCCGCGCCGTGGCAAAGCAGCGCGCTCGGGCTCCACGGGCGCCCTGCGAGGTGCGCGCTGCGTTCTCGTTTCACGGGCAGAGAGACGAAGCCACTTGTCCAAGGTCATGCAGCTGGTAAGTGGGAGCGCCCAGCATGGAACCCAGGACCGCCCGGCTGCCGAGCCCGCGTTCCACCCTCCTTGCCGCTGCCGCCTCCTGCGGGAGGGGGAGGTGGTCGGGAGGGCGCATCGACGGGGCAAGCTGGGCTCCAGGCTGGGCACGACCACCAACCCGATTCGTGACCTCGGGCTTAACCCCTTATCCTGGCGGGGCCTTGGTTTCTCCACCTGTGAAATCGAGGTAGCGCCAGCCCTGCCTACCACCTCCGAGGCGCGTACGGAGCATCAGAGGTGATACGTAGTGCATGTGGACTTGTTTTGTAAATATCACCGTGCCGAGGACACCGAAGGTGCTGTTTCAAAGGATGGAAGGAGGCAAGAGAGGGGCGGGGTGGGGAAGAAGACTAGAGCTGCCCAAGGAAGGGTGAGCACGAGTGGGTTGCTCTGACCCCAGGGCCCTCTGAATGGGGAGTGAGGTCAGGAGTAGATAGCCGGTTTTTCTCCCCTTCGGAGAAAACCTCACCCCCTTTTCTGGGCTGCCCCTCAGGGTCTCCATCACCCAGCTCCATGCTTCGAGTCCTGCTCTCTGCCCAGGCCTCCGCTGCTCGGCTGTCTGGCCTGCTGCTGCTCCCGCCAGTACAGCCCTGCTGTCTGGGGCCCAGCAAGTGGGGGGACCGGCCTCCTGGAGGAGGCCTCCACGCAGGCCCTGTGCAAGGGCTACAGCGGCTTCTGGAACAGGCGAGGAGCCCTGGGGAGCTGCTGCGTTGGCTGGGCCAGAACCCCACCAAGGTGCGCGCCCATCACTACCCTGTGGCACTTCGTCGTCTGGGCCAGCTCTTGGGGTCTCAGCCACGGCCCCCTCCCGTGGAGCAGGCCACACTACAGGACTTGAGTCAGCTCATCATCCGAAACTGCCCCTCCTTTGATATTCACACCATCCACGTGTGTCTGCACCTTGCAGTCTTACTTGGTGAGGAGGGTGTCTGGGGGGTGGGTGTTAACGGAAGAATAGAGAAAGAGCATAGAAGACCCAAGATCACTGACAGAATTCACCTCTCAGGCTTTGCCAGGAATGGTGCATCCCCTGGCACACTTGGTGCTGCTCCCCTGTTTCCACAGCAGACAGCAGGAGTCCAGCAGCATTCGCTCCAGCTTAGCTAGGGGTGCCAACCCTGATTCCCTCCAACACGGTGCTCTAGAAAGCCACTACTGTTTGTCACCGTTGGCGTGCAATGAGAGCTTATTTGCCATGTTTGTATCAGGTCTTCCCCGCAGACTGTTGTGATACCTCACGTGCACGTGGTATTTCACATTTCTCCAGTGCTTCTACTTACACTGTAGCAACCCTTCCATCCAGAACATGGAGACGTGAAAGGTTGGGAATTCACCAACTGACCCCCATGACTGGAACAGAGCAGTTCCCCGTTACCAGGCCTGCCTCCTCTGACCCTCTCCCTCTCAGGCTTCCCATCAGATGGGCCCCTGATGTGTGCCCTGGAGCAGGAGAGAAGGTTCCGCCTCCCTCCGAAGCCACCTCCCACTCTGCAACCTGGCCTGCGCAGTGGGCAAAGATTGGAAGCTGCTCTGAGCTGCCCTCGTTTCCTGAGGCGTCCGCAGCAGCACCTCATCCGCAGCCTGGCAGGTGCTGGAGGGGACTGAAGGCAGGTGGCGGGAGGGGCTGAAGAGGAGGCAGGTGGTGGTGTCTGGGCCGAGGTGGAATCTAGTGAAGATCTGGCCTGAGGGTCCAGCATAATAGGCTGTTCTTCACAGAGGCCAGGCCAGAGGAACTGACTCCCCACGTGATGGTGCTCCTGGCCCAGCACCTGGCCCGGCACCGGTTGCGGGAGCCCCAGCTTCTGGAAGCCATTGCCCACTTCCTGGTGGTCCAGGAAGCCCAGCTCAGCAGCAAGGTGGGATTACCTCCCACCCTGCCATGCTCCTCGCTTAGCCCTCCTCGGTGTCAGGCCCGGCCCCCTGTTCAGCTTGATTGGCTGCCTCCTGCAGCAGACAACCAGCCAGGCTCTCTGCTCTGTGCCCCTGGGGTTTCATCTTTGCTCACCCCCACCTGGCTTGTCCACCTACCCAGCGTGTATGCCTGGTTCTCTGCAGTTCTCCGCACTCGGCACTGTCTTAGCTTCGTTGAGCCCACTCCTCTTAAGTCTTCAGGGCCAGACCCCACAGCGATGTCTCCTCCACTGGTTTGATTAATCACATGGGGCTCAAGACACTGGTTATGCTGCCGAACTTCCGGTGTGTACGTCGGGGTAGAGGGATTGTTCCGCTTTTACAGAGACATTAGAAGCTTGCAGGCCAAGCCTCCCTGAGGTTCAGCTTGTGAAGGATATTGGAGAACTGTTTCGTGCTGGGTGAAGGGCTGCTCTTCCTCCACAGGTGGTACAGAAGTTGGTCCTGCCCTTTGGGCGGCTGAACTACTTGCCCCTGGAACAGCAGTTTATGCCCTGCCTCGAGAGGATCCTGGCCCGGGAAGCAGGGGTGGCTCCCCTGGCTACTGTCAACATCTTGATGTCACTGTGCCAGCTTCGGTGCCTGCCCTTCAGAGCCCTGCACTTTGTCTTTTCCCCAAGTTTCATCAACCACATCAGCGGTGCGCGGCCGGGAGGGCTGGCTGGGGGGGGGGAAGTAGGGGTGGGAGCCTGCAGCCCCGTGAGCCTCAGTCCTGCTTTCCCACAGGCACCCCTCATGCCCTGATTGTGCGGCGCTACCTCTCCCTGCTAGACACGGCCGTGGAGCTGGAGCTTCCAGGATACCGGGGTCCCCGCCTTCCCCGAAGGCAGCAAGTGCCCATCTTCCCCCAGCCACTCATCACTGACCGTGCCCGCTGCAAGTACAGGTGGATGGGGCGGCTTGGGGGAGGGGAGGGGACGAGGCTGCAGGAAGGACAGAGTAGAAAAGCCAGGGGGACCCTGGACTGTCTGTGCTGACACACACTTAGCAGAGAGAAAAAAAAACGGGCCTTAGGACATTAAAGGCATTTGCCAGGGTCGAGCCTCCTGAGCCTTTCCCTATCGGTGTTTGCTCCCCCTCCCGCCTCAGTCACAAGGATATAGTGGCGGAGGGGCTGCGCCAGCTGCTAGGGGAGGAGAAGTACCGACAGGACCTGACCGTGCCTCCAGGCTACTGCACAGGTGATTCCCCGCGGGTGGGTGGCCGGCCAGGATGCAGAGCCTTGGCTAGAAGCCAGTCGCCCTTTCTCTTGCCCTTCCAGACTTCCTGCTGTGTGTCAGCAGCTCTGGTGCTGTGCTTCCCGTGAGGACCCAGGACCCCTTCCTACCCTACCCTCCCAGGTTCTGTCCCCAGGGCCAGGCTGCCTCTCAGCCCACCACCCACGACCCTGCCCAGAGGTAAGGGAAGAGGGCGGGAGAGCCTCCCCGCCTCTGTGGACACCACGCCGAGCCATGGTCCGCCCCCTCCAGGGTGGTGCTGATGCTGCGGGAACGTTGGCATTTCTGCCGGGATGGTCGAGTGCTGCTGGGCTCCCGGGCCCTACGGGAGCGGCACCTGGGCCTGCTGGGCTACCAGCTCCTGCCGGTGAGAACAGCCCCCTGCCCCGCAAGAGCCGCCATGCCATCCTGCCGCCCCTCCGCCCCGCCCACAGACCCTGGGGGTAACCTGCTGCTCCCCTCCCCTGCAGCTACCCTTCGAGGAACTGGAGTCACAGAGAGGCCTGCCCCAGCTCAAGAGCTACCTGAGGCAGAAGCTCCAGGCCTTGGGCCTCCGCTGGGGGCCGGAAGGGGGATAAGGGGGGTGCACATGGGGCTCAGGATGACCCCCCCCCAGTGGGGGGGTGGACAGTTTGCACTTTGGCTCTCTATATTTTGGTTTCTCATTAAAGTCCCTTTCCTTCCCTATCGTGCGTCTCGTTTCTGGGACAGGGAGCGGGCTGGGCCCCCCCCCCCTTTTCCATCCACGCATCCTTCCCATACAGAGACAGAAGGCCAGGGGTAGGTGGGGGCCGAAGCACTTTACTGGTGGGGGAGTGGGCATGGTATGGGGACTTTAAATTATTCACTTAAATAAAAACGAGGGAGGGGATGGAGAGAGCACCCCCCAGCCCCTGCTCCCTCCGTCCATCCGTCCCTTGGCTGTCGGTCCAGGCAGCCGCTACACAGGCATGGGCATCTCGTTGTACTCGTCCACGCCCTCCCGTTCATCGAAAACGGGCTCCGCCTCATTAGCATCCAGCTGTGGGGGCGGAGTGGGTCAAGAAGGTTGACGCTGACCTCGGCCTGGGGGGGGCCAGCGGGGCTGGGGGGGAGGGGCAGGAGGCCTTACGCATTTCATCTCTCGCTCGGTGAAGATGCGGGTGAGCACCACCATGCGGAGGGGCACCGTGAGGATGAGGATGAAGGGGAAGGCCAGGGAGGCAGCTGTGGACATGACAGCCCAGAGCAGGGCCAAGCAGAGCAGCTGCAGGGCTGTGAACAGGTGCATTCGCAGGGTCCGAACCTGGGGGTGGGTGGCATATAAGACAGGTGAGCCAAGGCTTCTCCCCAGCATTGGAGGGCCCTGGTCCCTTGCAGGGCCATCTGGGCCTGCCACCTCCAGAAGATGGATGACCCTTTCTCCCTCCACGGGGATGGGGGCGGCAGTGCCTTTTTGGGTGCTTACCAGAGCCAGGTCCGCACAGACTAAACAGCGGCTGAACACGGGGCAGCTGGGGGACTGGAGAGTGACCCCCGCAGACCAGGATGGGGCAGAGGCATGGGGCTCTTCCAAGTGGGGTCTTACCTTCTTGACGTAGGTCACGTCTGGGTGGTGTTTGGGGGGCATGAGCAGCAGATGCAGCCGCTCGTAGAACTGGATCCCGTTAAGGGAGGTAACTCCCATATACAGAAAAATTCCAAAGAGCACAGCCAGGGGTATCTGCCGGAGCAGATCCCCGATAACCAAGGAGAGACCTGGGTGGGGGAGAGGGAGGAACAGCTGGCCCCAGGGCTCCCCACCCCCACAGACCGCCCTGGGGAAGGGTGGAGCGAGAGGTCAGCGTACCTACAAGCAGAGCAACCAGCAGGCCCGTTACACGCTGCTCCTTGACCTCCTGGATCTTGGGCTTGTCCCCGGGCGCCACAGCCTTGCTCATGACGGTGAGCGCGTTGGCATGAGTGACGGAGCGCACAGTGGCAGCAGCCAGCCAGGGCAGGCCAAAGAGGGCACAGATGCCGCCCATGGCCACAATGAGCAGCAGGTCCAGATGGAAGCCGGAACCCTTCTGCAGCATGCGCTCCTTCTTGGAGATGATCAGCCTGAGTGGGACAGGCACTCCCTGATGCCCAGCCAGGCAGACAACCGTCTTTCCAGAGCACCCAGCCAGGAGCCTCTGTCTGCTCTCAGAACCTGGCGGTCGGGCCCTGCCCAGTCCGTCAGGACAAGAGTTCTGTCGTGGGAAGAGACCCTCTCCATGCCCTTCAGGACAGCTCCCGGCCTCTACTGTGCCCGTCCCAGCAAACGTCAGTGGAACGTTCTACTGCCTACAGAATAAATTCTAGGGGCGCCTGGGTGGTGCTGTTGGTTAAACGTCCAACTCTTGGTTTCGGCTCAGGTCGTGATCCCAGGGTCATGAGATCGAGCTCAGCACAGACAGTTGGCTTGAGACTCTCTCCCTCTCCGCCTCTCAAACAAATAAATAAACGTTTAAAAACTAATAAATTCTAGGGGCCAGCCTGGTATCCTGGGCTTCCCTCACCCAGTGCACCCATATCTCCTCGCCTCGCTGGGGCTCCAGCCCTTCCACAAACAACATCGTTTGTGTCTACAGAGCACCCCCCCTAGGCTAGGACCACTCACGTGGTGATCTGCGTCTCCATGAAAATCAGGATGAAAACCAGGATGGCAGGCAGCAGGCTGGCAACCATCATCCACACGGGGAAGGAGCTGTTCTCCCCCAGAGGGTTGATGACCCAGCCCCGCTTTTCTGGGGCTGTCACGGAGACTCCACTGGGCACGCTCAGCTTCTGTAGGGCAGAGGGTGGGGCCAGGGGCCGGTGAACGGTGGAGGGGGAGCCCTGAGGTGCGCTGGGCAGGCCGAGCACCGAGGGCGTGCTATGGGAAGAGGCCTGGTGCCTGTGCAGTTGAGAGGCAGCTCTGGGGTTGGGCTGGAGGGGAATATCCAGAGCCCGGCGCCAGGTGCCATCTCCACCGCTGCCTGCACCCCGCCTTACCTGCGTATAGGTGTCCTCAATACTATAATCCACAAGCACCATGATGAGGATCGCGATGGGCACCCCGAAGTCCCCAATCACCCGCCGCACCTGTGGGCAAGCACCGTGCTCAGAGGCCCCCTGCCCCGCTCTGGCCCAGACTCAGCCACCCTTTCCGGCCAGTTCTCCCCCCCCCCCCCCCCCCCCCCCCCCCCCCCCCCCCCCCCCCCC